TCACCGACCGAGAGCCATGTCGGTGAATACCGCAACTCGGTATTCACCGACCGCATAATTTTGAGCGTCGGTCGGTTGCCGATCGGTTGTCACCGCGGGGCAATTTGCCACGGTCACCGACCGAGCGAATCTTGTCGGTTGCGGTCGGTAATCACCAATCGGTCGGTGAATACCGCAACTCGGTATTCACTAACGATCGGGGACTACCGCAAAACTGTCGGTGATCGCTGACCCAACACTATCTTATCCCAAAAAACATTCGTGAAATCGCCTTAGAACACCACGATTTGTTCCTATAATCGATCTTAAAACTTTGTATTTCTTTCGTTGCTGTACAATGATAATTTATCTCATTCTCTCGCTGCATTTAATTTGTGCTTCAGACCAGTGTAGTGCGGGGACTGAAAAAAGTCGGGGACGGGGAAAATTGGGGACGAAATTCTGCATTCAAGGACCCAAAAAAGTCGGCCAAAAAATCGTCGGAAATGGGGTCCCTGAAATTCCCAATTCCCGCACCACACTACTTAGTACCCGGTCAATCTGCCTAAAGACATTCAGACTAACGACAGTTTGCCTAAAGACACATTGCCTGACGGACAGTTTGCCTAACGGACAGTTTGCCNTTTAAAAAACCGTAAGTTAGGCAAACTGTCCGTTGGGCAGTGTGTCTTTAGGCAAACTGTCGTTAGGCTAAATGTCTTTAGGCAGATTGACCGGTCACGCACTGCTTCAGACCTCTCCTGTTCCCTTAAATCACCGCTTTTTTGATGGGATTCGTAGCATATTTTCTTTAGGTGAGCAAGCATCAGCGATGTTCATTCTGGATCTGACAGATCTGAAATACACGATGAGTCTTTATCAGTTTTGTGCGGGACATCTGAGGAATGTGGCTGAATTTCTGGATCAACAATACGTTCAAGTGATCAAACAAGTTGTTGTCATCAACGTTCCAGTGTTTGCCTATGCCATTTGGAAAACATTACGACCCCTGATACCAAGTTATTTTCAACGAAAAGTATGTATTGAAACATTCTAAATTATCGCAATCAGCCGAAGAAGTGACTGAACATGAGTTCTAAATTGAGCCATGAACTCGACCTAATTCTAAGCGAAGCAGAGAATATCAAGATGAAAACATCCTGAAAAGCCGTAGAATGTCGAGAGGAAAAAATTCATTTTCTGGCACGGAATTCATCCTGTTCAGGTTCACCTTTTGAGTCCATCGAATTGGCGCAAAGAGATTCTGGCCTATGCAGATCCCAGTGTGCTACCAAGTTTCTGGAATCTGCATGGAGAGGATTTGTTTAAAGCCGCTGTTGAGAAGCCTCTCGAGCTCACATCAGATAAATTCTACAAGCTGAAGGTATGCCATCTTTCGCTGTGCTCTATCAGCATTTTGTGATGACAACATAGTGCGAAACTTTTGCAGTGGTTACGATAGCGATAAATATATAATATAGGATTTTGACTTTATCGTTTGCATTCCTGAATTTGTAACGCTTCTTCAGTTGCATTTTTCGATTATTGCGACAGAGAAGATCACGGATTTGAATGATCTTCTCAAAGATTCAATCAGTCAAAGATTCGAAAAGATTCAATCGCATTTGAGTCCGCTCTTGATCGGNTCGTAAAGAGCACAAATAACTGTTAATCAACAGTCATTCGTCGACGAACATTTAAAAAAAAGATTTCAGATCCCTGAAGGTGCAAAAGAGGTACACATTGCTCCACGTCAGAGCAGATTCTTTTGTTATAAAGCCAACAAGGGCGATATCGTTAACACATGGGTTATATGCGATGGAAACTATGCTGGCGGAGTTTATTTTACTGAAGATGAGAACGAAGAGGATTTTAAGAAGTTGGTTTTCTTTCGATCCAACGATCGCAGCATTTTAGATTCCCAAAAACTCATCTCTAATACGTGTCGAAGATAATTTGGAAGTAAAGGATCAAGTGGGATTTTTACAACGCATAAGCTGACCCCGTTTAATTATTGGCTTTGATAAATGACGGATCACCCCAGGCATTTAAATCAGTTGAATTTCGTTTCAAAACTAGAAGTACTGTGGACCGTTATTACGTGAAAGACGCATACGCGATATCCCACTAACAGACTCACTGCGTTTATCAGTTATAAGATAATTTTGCGGACATTTCAGGATGAGAGCTATCTATCCGTGTTTCGCAACGGTGATCGGTCCCACTTATGTGCCCATAACACACTCGTTCGTTGCCGAACAGACCGGTGTATATAAATTTTGGTTTACGAATGAAAAAGCATGGCTTCATACGCTCAAGATACATATTTATGCGAATATTTGTGATAAACATTTATATCCGCCTGATTTTTGATGATAAATGATCGATACTATATGCACGATACATTCCAATAAACATATCCTATCAACAGTGTTGGGCGCGCTATCGAAGAACGATAGCGCGCTATCGCTATT